TATAGCCTAATATTTCAATTTTAATTGATCACTTTAAACGCCCATAAATTGCTTATAAGATGACAAAGTTAATCTTGCATAGCGAACAAATCGCATAAATCAAAGAAATTTTGGCTAGAAGCCTTTTAATTAATCGCATTTAGACAAACCAAATTGCTCTATAAGTGAAAAATTACTATTTTTATAGCGACAAATACGCTTTAAATTAAAATTTTTTGGCTTAAAGCCCTTAAATCAACCCTATTGGCAAACAATCTGCCTAAATCCATATCAATTTTGGGCTAAAAGCCTTAAATTTTCACTTTTGGGCAAACATATTGCCTAAATCAATTCATTTTGGCTAAAAGCCTTCAAAACCATTGCTTTTGGACAATAAATTGCTCTTAAAGAATCAATTTTTTGGCGACAAATTCGCCCTAATCATCAACTTTTTGCAATGAATTGCCTAAGTCTATTCTTTCTCTGAAAAGACATTTATAATGCCGGCCCGACTATTAAAAGATCCTACATAGATAAGCTTAAGACTTGCCCGGAGCACACAAATAATTCGCCCTAAAGGAACCAATTTTCTGAGACATACATATAGCCATAAAATATCACACATCCTTTTTGGATAAAAGCATTAAATCAACATTTTAGGCATCAATGCCTAAAAACATCAAAAAATTCAATCAATTTTATTGGCAAAAGCCTAACAATGCACGAAGCATACACACACTCATGCATAAAGCATCCCAATTTCAAAGCCCTCTTAAAAGAGGCGCATCGAAACTACGTTGACTTTGATCTTCCATTCAAACGGAAGTACGTAGGGCACGTTGCGGAAGAATTTAACCCCGAGCGGCAAGTCGCAATCATTCAAAACTCACTTTAATACATTCCATTGGTCCCAATCATCTTTGCAAAGCCATTCATTTTTTTGGTTAGGTTTCACTCAGCATAACATAGGTTTCGGAGATCCACCTCAGGTTCGAAGAACACATGCTTAAGACATTGGGTAATTAATCTTAGTAACTAGGTTTAATTAAAAATATAGGGAGTCACTTAGGGTTTTTTTTCCTAGTTTACCCTAAAATAATTAAACAAGGTGGCGACTCAACACATCAATTAAACAAGGTGGCGACTCACACATCACGTGCATTTCTTCTCATTCATCATATGCATTACATGCCTATGTGTTTTTGGGGGAGGGGTTCACAGTCTCATGACGCAGAGTCTATTGATCAATTTGGCTGACCGTTGGCGAAACCGAGACACTTGGTACTTGGGTCAAGGAGTGATGCAGGACATTATGACACCTGAGTACGTCAACTGGTTTTACACCCAATGATGATACTAGGTTCTGAAAAAAAATGGCGTCTGATGACAACCCCTACTAGAATAAATGGTGTTGTTGTTTCGTCTTTGTAATGTCCTGTATTCCAGGGCCGTGGGCTCCCTATTAATGTATCCCTTTTTTTTTTTCAATTAATGACTCCGGTGGTTCTGTCTTTATTAGTTCCTGCTTTCTGCACATATGGAGAACAAAAGACAACAAATCTTTTCCTTCAAAATTATTTGTTGTGTTAGTTATTTGGGCCTCCTGCCCCTGGGTCAATAAATAAAAGCTCATAAAAATGACTTCAAAATAAAAATGATTATTCGATTTAGAGACAGAGTTTACAATTTGGAAAGTAAAAGATGGGGGTTGGACTTATCTTTTCAAATTAACCTGCATAGATCAAACAAAGAAATAGCATATGTAACTTCTTTATGTATGCATAGAACCTACTGAGTACTAAGCGTTTTATCTCATGGGTTTTATTGAATCTTTCAAGGAAATCACTGAGAAAATGGTATTTTCATTCTCCTGAATAGATTGTTTTTAAAAGAATTACATACACTTAGGCAGGACCAACCAACGCAGAAACATTTTCCAAAAATAGATGGGTCATCTTGATCATATAAGCAAGAGAGGAAGTCTTAGGCCATCCTTTAGTCATATTCCCAGAACCCAACAAAAGGAGAAAAATTTTTGAAATTCAGAAGACCTTTATTAATCTTACTTCTTTCAACATTATACAGAAGTAAAAGAAAACTATATTTTTAATCAATGGTCATTCATTCTTAACTTACTCATTTACCTATTCTCCTTCTAATCATTGGATGACAATTGAGCAACCAATCACAATCTGTTCATGGACCATGGCAATAGATTTCGCAATTTAACTAAGAATCCAAAGAGTTAATCTCCGAAAGTTTTATTTTTATCATTAATTTATTTTTTATTATGCTCTAACTTTTGCCTAGGCGCCCTATTCGGGTTTCACATAGCGAGCTCATTTCATTGCCTACAGCTGCCCTTTTGGGTTTTTCACGACCTAGCTTCCCCCCTTTTTTTTTTTCTTTTTTATAATTGAAATCATCATTTCTAGACATAGAATTACTTTTCCCTTTGTCACACTGATTGACATCCGGTTGACAGGCTTCCCTTCATGGTAATTTAATTCAGCGGCACCTATTCGCTAAGTAGCTTTTTGAATTTCTGAATGGTCCATCGCCAAGTTGGGATTTAGAAATTTCCCCACACAGGATGATTTCTGGGCGTCATGGGATACAACCAATCTGATCAATACCCAAAATCTCCATTCTTTAAAGCCCTTGGATTACCGTTTGTTGTTTAGAAAACGAGCAATCCTTCTCTTTCTCTCATCTGATCCTGGAACAGAGCGTTCAATCTTCTTGCCATCCAAAGGCACTAGTATACATTTCGTACCTGTTATTCTTGACATTCTTCCCCTTCGGTCAGACCAGCTTCCAAACAAGAACCTGAACGAGACTTTACTTTTCGAGCTCTATAAGGTAAAACTGCCTCCATCCTAATATACCAGTTCAAAAGGGAGAAGCTCATTTACTGACTTGAATGTAGTGCGATGTCCCTAGAAGCGCGCAATGCAAAGTTTTTCCTCAGGCCACAGCCTTCTATACTTTTCGCACATCTTTGGACAGGATTCTTTTAATTCTCCTTATTCGCGGCTTCCTACTGCACATTTAGCTGAGGGCGATAAGGAGAAGAATGGTGATGCTCAACTTATTCTATATAGCAACTGACCAAACATCTGATTGAAAATGAGAACCATTGTCTGTAACTAATGTTGATGGGCAATACCATAGCGACAGAAAATGTTCTTGTTCAAATCAATCTAGCCACATGCTGTAGCGTCAAACGTTTTTGTAGGATTGAGCCTCGAATCCATCTAGAAAAAGTAATCTACTGCCACCAATATATACTGATTTGACCATTTGAATAGCTGTTGCGTGAATACTTGCTTGATAAATTCTATACCATCAGAATGCAGAAAAAGGCCAAGAAGGAGCTGTCGGATGGAGTTCAACAGCAGGCAAATGACTTTTATTATCATGGTACTGGCAGGCTTTACAATGACGTATATAATTAACACAGTCACCTTCCATCTGCATCCAAAAATAACCCTGCCTCATGATTTTTCTGGCTAAGCTCATGCCGCTCAAATGAATACCGCAGACTCCCTCATGAATTTCTTCATTATTTCTTCTCCCTCCTTCTTACTTACGCTCTTAACAACATTCCGTCCCAAGCCCTCCTATAAAGTTCACCATCAACCAGGACATAATTTAGAGCCATTTTTCGTAGGACCGAACGATCTTCCTTTGTTGCATTATCAGAAAAGGTTCCGTCTTTCATGTACCGCAGGGTATCCGTAAACCAGGGTTCTTCCTCCGACTCCACCCGATTCACAAAATGTTCTTCATAGCACGGGATATTTGCCGTAGTAATGATAAATGGCTTCTTTAGGAATTTACTTAAGTCCTGCCAAGCTGATGCTAAGTTTGCCAAGGCATCCGGAATTCTGTTATAGATTCTTCCTATGTGAATGAAGGTGATCTTATCAAAGAGTATTGCCTTCTTCAACAAGTACTCAACATAGGGCTTCAACCTTTCTTCTTCCACTTTCCATCTCTCGTTAGCATGTTCGATAACCAACAACGAATCTCCTTTAGCAATGTTTCGATAAACAAACAACGAATCTCTATCACCTCAACTTCACTAGACACCGGAATGCAAGAAGAGCTTCATTCCATGCATGCATGCTTTCATATTCAGCCATATTGTTGGTGACCGGAAACAATACATCTTATTTGGCAGCACATTGTGGTGACCTCTCGCCATTAGTGCTTCTATCACAAATACAAGCTCCGGCTCCATTTCTGTAGGTTTGATCCATCAAAGTACATTTTTCCAAGCCCCTATTTCAACACACAACAAGTGTTCATAGGACTGGAAACTCCAATTCCCATGATTCGTCATGCTAGCACAGGGATTCTCATGCCAGGAACTCTGCTACAACGGGATTCTCTGCCAGGAACTCTGCCACAGCTCTTCCTTTGACTGTTTCAACACAAATCTTAGCCAACTATGCTCTTTTGTTGGGAAGGCCCTGGCTCCATCCTCTAGGTCCAGTTCCATCCACCTTGCACAGAAAAGTAAAAATTCCATGGGGTACGGATGTGGTGACAGTTAACGCGCAAGAGGATCTGAATGTGGCAGCAGTGGAAGGCTTAGAAGCGGCAGTGCCGTTATCGGGTTTTTAGGTGGCAGTGATTGATGCGCCTACCAATGAGAGCAAGAGTGCGGTGAATAGAATGAGTCCTTTTTCAAGGAAGATGATGAAGAAGATGCAGTGGCAGTATGGCAAAGGTTTAGGCCGAGAGCTGCAAGGAAGGTTTGAGCCTCTTTCATCGGCACTTGGACAGCAAGACAGACGCAGACTGGGATATTCTGAGAATAGAAAGAAGGAAAGATATGAGATCCGGTCTCCAGTTAGAGGGCCAAATTTGAATCATATCTTCTTTGTCCCACAAGAGAATTCTAGGTAGGGAAGACCTACCCGGCTTGCGAGAGTTCATGACGATTATGAGATAGAAACTGATCAAAGTCTCCTGAACCTTCTTTGGAACTACGGTTGAAGAACTGAGTTTTAGGGGGTATGACATAAGCAAGCACTTGAATCTTGAGTGGGTTGGAAGAAGATATCCGAGTTAAGGGACTTTATTTGGGAATGGGGATTGAAGCTTCTAAGATGGTGCAAGAGCAAGAAGGCCAAAGGCAGGATCCTCCAGGTCGCCATAGGGTTACTACTGCTGAAGATTGCCGAAGAGGCAGAGAGGAAGGTTTATTGAAGATGAAGCTTAAGAGGAGAAAAACGAAGCTTACCTCGGAAAGAAGAAGAGGGAACACAAAGATGCGGATGAAGTGGTTCAGCAATAGGAACACTTTGATAATGATGTATTGAGCAGGCAATTGTAAATCCTGTATTTGCTTTTCTGATGTTTGCTTTAGAAACAATTATGGATGGTTTCCTCTTCTTATTTCAATTCCAATGGAAGTGAACTTTGACTATTGTTTTTCTTATTTTCCTGATTGTCACGTTCATGGCATTCTTATACCACGCGCATATTTCACATAATGCCATTGCATCATTTTCCATTTAACTTAATCACCACTGGAAGATCCTAAAATAATCGAAAAGGAATCATTACTTTAAACCTGAGCTTTTAACAGGATCTTCAAGAATGCATTAGAAGAAATCAGAGGTATTGACCTTGGAGCTACGCTTGACATGCCAGGAATCGACAGATCAATAGCGGAACACTTGATTTCCTATTGAATCCAAGTGCTAAGCCAGTGAAGCAGAAAGTAGAAGGCGTCAACCAGAGTGGCAGGGATAAGGATTCAAAGCTGAAGTTCCAGGAAGCAGTTTTGGATGCAGATTCTTAGAAGTAGTTCCACTATCCGGAATGGTGGCGAATATAGTATCACGCGTGCATGAAGAAAGATGGAGAGGATAAGGGTCTTGTGTTGACTTACAGGGACCTGAAACAAAGCCTCGCACTAAGGATGGACTTTCCACTTCCGCACATAGTTTTGATCGACAGTGCTTGCCGGATGGGATGTTATTCTATCATGGACGATTCTTCCGGGGGATACAACCAAATACTGATGAGGCCCTAGTGGACAAGCCATAGACTGCCTTCACACAAAGGATTTCAGAACCATTTGCTTTATAGAGTTAATGCCATTTGGACTGACAGAACACCGGGGCAACAATACCAGAGGAATGGTTACGACATTATTTATTTTCATGATTTATGATCCATAAAGGGACAAGAAGTATATTGTAGAATGACATGGTGATCATGATAAGAACATAGGAGGAAGAACACGCAGAGATGCTGGAGAAGTTCTTTGCCACGGTCAAGCAGTTATAACTTAAGACTCAATCCCAGAATTTGCGTATTGGAAGTAACGAAGGGGAAGTTATTAGGTTATTGTTTGTAGGACCTTAATGGGATTGAGGTTGACCAGACAAATAAAATCCATTCAGGAGGATATGAACCGCCAAGGAACAGAACATCAGGTGAAAAGGCTTCTTGAGGGAAAATTCAGTACATCAGCAGGTTTATTACAGGTATCCATCACTTGTGCTTCCAATTTCAAGCTACTGAAGATAGATATAGCCAATTAAGTGGAAATGAGGATTGCCAGAAAGCCTTTTGACCACATAAAGAAAATACCTGATGAATCCACCGCGCGGTGCTCAGTTCACTTAGACCCAGGAAGAACCTCTTGATCTTGTATCTATTCTATTAGAAGATGCAGGAGTTGGCAATGTTGGTTACACTCGGTGGCTACTGGAGTAGAAAAGGCAATTACTACATTAGCAAGAAAGGTCTATGCTTCGAAAGAGAAGTATAACATGGTGGAAAAACATGTATGGCAGTAGTGTGGTCGATAAAGAAGTTGAGGCCTACATTGATTCCTTCAGGGCCACTTTTGTTTTCCAAAATTGATCCTCTGAAGTATTTGCAGAGAACGCCTACTCTAGGAGGGATGGTTTGTCTAAGTGGTTGATTCATATGTCAGTGTGGACTGCAAGCGTTTCGTAACGAAAAGAGAAAACGGTTCAAAGGTCGGGCTGTGGCAGAGTCCAGCGAAACCTACAAGTGACGATACCAGGGAAAGGAGACCAGTACGAAACACTTGCTGTTATTGTGTCGGAAACAAGGGCCTTTGAAATGTTACTTTGAGGATGCTAAACAGAAATGGAGACCGAAGCTGGAGAATAGAAGCACCTAAAGGCGAGGGTCCACCACATAGGCAAGAGAGGTTCCGGCACTAACAATATGGCTAAATATGAAGCGTCTTCATGGGGGGGGAAAAATGGAGCTCTCCTTAGCAATTTCGTCGCTGTTCGTCCGCCTATTAGATAGCGGTGATCTATTTCTTTACGCAAGAAGTTCCTTTGACCCATTTTTGTTATCTTTGGGCTTGTTTGGCTTCCTTTTGACTAGGGTTCCTTGTGTTTCCCTCCTTGCGCTTAGAGTAAAACAGCCCGGCCCATAAATGAAAGAGTAATCGTTAGTTAGGTATATAATATACCAATGCTAACGGAGAGAATGGAGAAACAGATAGAAGAAAGAGGGTAAGACTGATTACTAGGACAGCGCGGTAATGTCGACTGAATTATGTATGATAAGCCATGCGAACTATAGGAACTGGTGTCATATAATAATTGGATACCTCTACTCTTCCTTCTCTTTTCTCCCCTCTTTT